AAAATATTTTTTTAAATAAAATTAAAAATAAACAATGCACGACGTTTGCCCAATAAATTAAGGTTAAGCTTACCACCACCACCAAGGTTAAGAACACTCCTGCAAACAAGCCCAAACCAGGTTAAAATTTCATCCAGGCAGTGTAAGCAAGTTTGTGAATGCAGCTGCAGGCAACTTAGTTAAGGAGGCTATGGGAATAAAGCCACTGTGTGTCTCTGTATGTGTGTGTAAAGCAGCCGAGGTTGTCCAGCCTCCAGGATGTGATTCTTTTCAGACCCAAAATTTAGGAGCAGACAAGATGTTGGCTGCTTCTATAAAAAAGATGTGGAGACTCTAGTCTAGAAAAAGTGCAAAGAAGAGCAACCAAGAGGATTAAGGGACTGGAAGCTCAAATACATGAAGAACAGTTGCAAGAACTGGATATGTCTGGTTGAATGAAAGGGACTTAAGGTGATATGATAGCAGTCTTCCAATATCAGTATCTACATTACGATTCATAGCAGTAGCAAAAGTATAGTTATAGAGTAGCAACGAAAATTTTTTTTATGGTTGGGGGTTACCACAACATGAGGAACTGTATTAAAGGGTCGTGGCATTAGGAAGGTTGAGAACCACTGATCTAGATGGTATAGACATTGATGAGATGATGAATTTCACAGATCAACTAATGTATTATTCACTAACTTCTTAGACCAAGTACCCATCTTTTAATAGGTAAATTAAAAATCTTAATGTAAAATCTGGATGAAGAATTTTTTTAAAATATCTGGTTTTTCTGTAATTAACCTGATTCACTTTTAAGGACTTCTTTCCTATTTGTTTGCTTCAAAATATTATATATATATATGTGTATACATATTTTTTTTATACTTTGTTTTGCAGCGGTACAGAAAAAAAGAAGGACAAACATCAAGGACAAACAGAGAAAAAAGAGGACTCTCATTCTAGTGATCAAAACCCACAATCTCAAGCATCACCTTCTCCCCAACCCTCTGCACAGATTCTCCCAACACACAGGCAGACCCCAGAAGTCAAGAGCTCTGCTCCAGGCAAAAGGTTTCCTAAATACAGAGCTAGGAAGCATTTGCAGCGATACTAACATTACGCTTTGCTCCCCATTAAAAGCATGTATATGTCTTTTAAAATCTTTCTTGAAAGATTTCTATTCTTTTGAACTCCTTTTAGAGTTCATACTGCTTGTTGCTGGAGAGTAACAGTTCTCCACCAAGCCACTTTCCCCCCCAGAGTAATCAATGGTAGTCAGTTTAAAATAGCATTATACTATATAAAGCAAGAGCAAAATATTTTAAAACATTATTTAAAAGAACCCCAAATAATGGTAAGAGCTGTCAGACGCTTAATAAAATTGTGTTGTTTTTATTGCCCATCTGAAATTCAACAGTGATGATCAATCTGACCTCCCTTTAGGGGCAGTTATGCAAGGTGTGAGATAGCTGTGAATCAGAAGTCTACTTACCCTCTGACAGGATGGCTTTGATCCACTCATTATCACCTGAATCTACCCCACAGGGTTATTGTTTCTGTGAGGAAAAATGGGAAGAGCAAGCATTACATGAAACTCTGGAGGACAGAGAGAACAAGCTTTTAACAATTAAAGCCATAATTATAAATGGCTTGCTACTAAAATAACTGCCCTAAAGTAAAATCAGCCAAAAGAAAAAAGTATACTCAAGGCAGGAGAGAAAAATAAGTGTAATGGCAAGGACTGTCCACTTAACTATGCATTCTGGGAAAAAAACACAGTATGAGCGATCACACTATCCATATACAAAGTTACTATAGAGGATTCTCAGTGCATTTCATAGTTTAATGAGCATAAAATATTCAGCTATTCAGATGATTGCATACTAATGACCCTCAATTCTTCTCACTAGTATTATAAACCTTTTTGCACATCATTTCTTAGGTTGCTGTTCGGTGTTGGGTGGCTTGCGGTGCTGCTTTTTTTCTGCTGGGTGCTGCTTTCTTTTGGTACCAGTTTAAGAAACTGTTTTCCATCATGTCTGCTTGCCTATTCTGGCTATTATTATGCAGGGAATTGAAAAGAGGTTTTTCCAATCTCCTAGCACCATTGAACTATAGATACCAAGCACTGGAGTTAGGTTAGGTTATAGGTTTATTTCATTTATATGCCGCCCTATTCCCGGAGGGACTCAGGGCNGTGTTTCAATGACTCTCTAAAAGAATGCAAATTACCAGCTGTCTGCAAGGAATATAAATCCTTCCATTCCCCACTATCCTATCAGAGGTGAGGAAACTTCTAAATGAAAAGTGAAATGTCTTCAAAAGAAAAAAACAAAAATGTCCAGTTGCTTTCTTGAAAAAACACCTTTGGGGCGAGAATGTGTATAATGTTGGCAGCCCATCTATTATGATTTACTCTGACCTATTTGAAAAAATACTGTAAAATTAATACTGTTTTATCAAAATTTTATGGACCACATTGGGTTCCTCCCTTTAAGCAAACCAATATGTTTAAGCACTATTAAACATGTTTGGCCATCAAGTTGCTGATGACAGTCCATAACATTTCCAGGTCAAGTATGCAGGTGTTAGTTTTTAGCACTTTATCTTAAAATCAGAGTACCTTAATGGCCTTCTTCTCTTGAATGAATTCATTGGATAAGCCTTGTGTCTAAATTCAGTAGATCAGTACTTGAACAGCATTTTAATTGTAAAGTATTCTCCCTCCCCTTAAATAGATTCCGGTTTCCACAAGCAAGTATTATTATTTTTTCAGTAGGATAAACTAGCACTTGCATTCTTGGTCTCTTGTTTCTACTGTTTTATGGTTATGCTATGGTTGTTTGGTTTCACATTTTTAATGTTCTATTTTGCTATTTTAACAACAGCTTTATATTATTTTTATAAGCTTTCATGAATATTAATGAATGATTTGCATCTATTGGGTAAAATATAGATTAATTTATCCTACTGGGCTTTATTTGAACTGTGTTTTATTACAGTTTATGAATGCAAAAGATTCTACATTAATGTAAACTATTTTTATCTCTGGGGAAACAGCACTCTTGAAATGGATTGTTGGGATGGAGAAAGAGCTTTTTGTCCCTGTCTTTGTTTACGGCAGTCTTACTTCAGATCACTATTTATCTACAATTGTTAGATTTGGGAAAACAATGCCCTGGTTCTGGGGGATGTAGGAGTTGTAAAAAACAACGTATTGCTGAATATGTAACGTAGAGTGTCAACATGAGCTATAAATGCTATTGATAACCTTTTAATGCTTGATTGGAAATGTAGAACTAATTCAGGGTGTCCCTCACAGTTCACTGTTCTATGAAATTCCTTTGATGACAGCTTCTGAGATGTTGATCTATAATGATAATTCAGAAGAAGAAAAGAAACTTTCTTGCATTCAAGAGCATCTTTTCCATGTCTGGAAAGGAGCTACAAAAATTAATTTGTTAATAGCATTCAGTTGCACTGAGTCAAAAATGGCCTTAATCTACTTTATAAAAGGGAGAAGTTCTGAATCGTGAGTTAATTTCACAGGAATCTGACTCACTTTTAAATAAGAGTTTTTTGGGAAAAATCATGAACACTTTCTTTTGGAAATACCTTACTAAAGTTTATCCATTGTTTAACTTTTAAACTTGCTGTTTTCATTTTCTCATACTGTATCTTACTCATACCATATGAGTATGGTATGGTATCGTATCTTACTCATACCATACTATGTACATACTGTATTTCCTCATCCCTTAAAGACATGCATGCCAAGTGCAGTAGAATATCTGAGACATATAATGTACTTTTCTTTATAATTATTATGTAAATAAATATACACACTAATACATACAGTATATGACAATAAATTATCCATTGGGGTTCAATATGTAAATGCTATTGAAGCAATAATAAAAAATAAATTGATGAAATGATAGACATCTGATTGCCAAAATTAGAAATTTTATCTGCTTTTCAAAATAGGTTGCTACTCTAAAGATCTGAAGAGAGATGGCAAAGATTTTGCACTTCATCTATAAAATATTATGAGTAGCATCCAGGTTTCATTGCATTTGGAGTTGACCCACTCAAATGAATGGCATAAATGAGTGATAACTGAGTCAAGTCCTTTTGACTTCAGCCAATTGTAAAACATTGGGCAGGACATTTATTATTATTATTACTACTGTTCTGAAATTAAAATAATCTAGTTAGTTACATTTCATATCTTCAAAATACTATTAAAAGCCAGAAGTAGACCTTTATAGTTCTATTGTTGGGTACCTAAATATTAGTCCTTCAAGGGGGCAGACAGAAACCTTGATTTCTATCACAAACTACCTTAATTGTAAGAGTTTTGCAAGTCTGAAAATGCTTCTACCCTCTTTACTTTTAGTTTCCCCAAAATTGGGAAGGATTCCTTCTGAGATGTTCCCACAGCCTTTTTCATTCTGTGAGCTGAGAAACCTTTGCACTAAGGCAGCATATTAAAAAGCGGCAATAATTGAGAAGGCAGTTATTCAGATTAATATGACACAATTATTCTGGTCACCAGTCCTCCACCAGACAAATTAGCACCTTAGGTTAGAGCTCTTAATAGGAATTGAGGATCACAACAGTCTGTGAAAAGAAGTTATGTTAATTAACTGCAATTATGTATTTTTTCTGAATTTAATAGATATATATCCCATTATTTTAAAGTAAATTATTTATTGTAACCATAAAAAGACATCTAAATAACCTGATGCTATTGGTTTCTTTCTATTCCTAAAATATATCTTTGGAGTTTTCTATTTGCATATCAAATGCATATTAAGATTTGATCAACCAGTTCAAAGATCTTTCCATGTGGACTAATAATTCAAAAATAGCCACATTTTATACTGCACTAGGAAAAGATTTTGTTCCTGAAAAATAAGGGGGGGGGGATAAATTAAAACTGTCAAGTTTTGTTGATTTAAACAAATCTTGAAACAACAGTTATTACTTAAAGTCTGCCCACATGCAATTGTTGACTAACAAACTGCTATGTATTTTCTTACTGTATTTGTTTAGGTCAGCCTGCTCTCCGTGAAGCCACCTCTTTGTCCTGCATCCCCAATGGAAACCCAGGAAACAGAAAAAATAATCATAGCCCAGCTATCCCTATTGCTGGGAAAAAAACCCTCTCATCTGTTGCTAAAAGGTATACCTTATACTGTCTGTCCGTCCGTCCGTCCGTCCATCCATCCATCCATCCATCCATCCATCCATCCATCTATCTATCTATCTATCTATCTATATCACATTTCTATAATACCCATATCACCTACGTAACTGGGCAGCTTACAATAAAAACATATAAGAATATAAAAGCATAAATAAGAACAAAATTAAAAACAGAATTAAAAGGGTTACAGAATTAAAAGTTAGATAATTAAGATACCTACTATACACAATACCTATTATCCCCAAGATTGCTTATCAATCTTGCTCCCGTGCTAATGGGGAGGGTTTAAATAAATTTTTAACATTCTTTCTGAAGTCCAGAAGAGTAGAGCCCACATCACCTCTGGGGATAAGATATTCCAGAGGGTTGGGCAACAGTAGAGAAGGGTCTCTTCCTGGATCCCATCAGGCAAAATACTTTAATCAGTGGGACGCACAACTGGGGTGTGTGCATCCCATATCAGGATGATACAGTTTCTCAAATAAGTTGGTCCCATGCCATGAAGGACTGTGAAGGTGATAACCAATATGTTTAATTAGACCCAGAAGTAAACTGTATCTAATGCCGCTTGCACAGCAGATATACTATCTGTATAATCTTAGGGATGCCCAGGATTCTTGCACTACCATGTTTTACACCAGTTGCAGCTTCTGGATATGTAAAAAGGTCGCCCCATGTAGTGCACATTGCAGTAATCCATATGGGACATGACTAGGGTATGAATGATTGAAAGAAGGCCCTTGATCCAGGAAAGGACATAACAGCCACATAAGATGAAGTTGAATAAAGGTCCTCATAGTCACAGCCACCACCTGCTCCTTGAGCAGGAGTCCAGGAGAAACCCCAGTTTATGCACTGG